AATTTCTACATATATATATATATTTTTTTTTCACTAATAAAATAATAATATTTATAATTAAATCAACATTTCCATTTTATAATTTATAATAAAATATTTATATAATACTTTTTGTTTTTTTTTACAATCAACACGAAATAACTTTTGTGCGTGTGTGCGTAAGTAAATGTACATAAATTTCATGTTTTTTATACTTTAATAGTATTTTAATATTTTTTAAAAATTATTTTAAAATAAGAAATAATAATAAGTTGAGCATTAATTAATTTTTCCATAATATTTAGATTACGTAATATTTCAGTTTAAAATTTTAATAATTGATACTAAAATTATGAAAGTTATAATTATTGGACAATAATTGAAAACAAGATATTTAGTATAGAAATATAAATGAAAATATATATATATATATAAAAGTAAATGACTTTGAAATGATTTTTTTTTTCGCATTTAATTTATACGAAGAGAAAAAAAACATAAATTTGAATAATAACTCGACCAAAAACAAAAAAAAAAAAATAAATAAATTTAGGGTATTATAATAACATGTACGCTTATCACTAAAAAAATTTTAATTTCAATTCAATGTTATATATATTTATATAACAACAACAACAACAACAACAAAAAAGTTTATTTAAAGTCAAGCAGTGTATTATACCTACAATTAAATGTTGCCATTTTTTTTTCACTGTGGTTTAGAAAATTTACAGTTTTTTTTTTTTTTAAATAAATAAAAATTTTTATTCATGACTAAACTTAGAATCAAGGAATGCATGTCACGTTTAAAATTTTGACAAATTTTTTTCCATTTTTTTTTTTTAATAACAAATCAAACAGAAATTTTCTTATATTAATTACACATTATTATTTTAGATGTTTTAATTAATCGTTATTTAAAAAATTACGTTGTCGTTATCGTTGTTGTTGTTGTTGTTTTTGTCGTTTTTTAAATTTTAACAAAAAAATAAAGTAGAATAAAATAAAATTTTTTTTTCTAATAAGCATTCTGGCATTTGGTTGGCGCCAAAATGAATTATTTTGTCCCGACACGGTTTGCCGGATAATTTTTTTTTATTTCTTTTTATCTGAAATAGTTGCCACCGTTCGATTCATTTATTTTCATATTAATTTTTTCCCTCTTTTTTCTTCATTGTTTTTAATAAAAAAAAAAAAATTTTTTTTCTGTTTTTTGTTACCGAGTTTAATTAATAAAAAATAAAAAAAAATTTCATAGCACAATTATTTTTATTTTTATTTATATTTTACGTCTACCAAAACGTCATAATACATTTTAGTAATTTTTTTTAGAAAATCTTTTATCAAAAGTATCGAAAAAAAAAAAAAAAATTAAACGAAAACTTTTATTCCTTTGATTTTTTATGAATCAATAAATATAAAAATGATGATAATTTATAATAAGAACCGGAATACAAAAAAAAATTTTTATTTATAAACTATTTTTAAAAAATTAATTTGAATTAAATTACTTTATATTATATATTCTCTTTTTTTTTTTTAAATCGCAAGGAATAATAATAATTAATACTATTATTTTTTTTTTTAATTTATAAATTTTTTTACGGGTATAAATTTTGAATATATATATAAACATAACAATATATTAAAGAAATTTTGTTTTTTTTTTTTTTTCCCTTTCAAATTTAAAATTATTTTTTACATTGCGTGTTTTTAATCCCGAATCTTTTATTTAAAAATTTATTTTATAGAAGTTAAAATTAGGTTAAATATAACAGAAAATTTTTTTAAAAGAGTCGAATAAAAAATTTTATAAAAAAAAAAAAAAAAAAATTAATTGTTAGTTCAAACACGCATCAAATTTTTATATTTTTTATAAAATAATATATGATAAATTTACACAAAATTAAATGGGTAATAATAATAATATAAAAAATTTTTCAATGTTTCAAATCGTCTTTCTTAAGAAAAATTAAAAATATTTATTATTTAATTCTCTTCTTTAAAAAATTAATTTTGATTTATATCACAAAAAAAAAACAATAAAAATAAAAACATGAAATATTTGTACGTAACATTATTAATAACAACAAAGAGTTATAAACACACACACACATAAATATATATGTATATATATGATTAAAATTGAATTATGATAAATTATATTTAATAATATATAAGATAATATATTCAATTAATTAAAAATATAATGGATAAATGATAACCGTCGGATATTTTTTCAATCGAAACACATTGAAAAATTAAAATAAAATAATTAATAATATTCATATTTGATAAAAAAAAAAAAAAAAAAAAAAAAAAAAACAAAATTAATTTTAAATTACAAAACAAAACGGATAAAAAAATTAAAATTCCGTTAAAACTCTCTCGTCCGAATGAAATGTTTAATCTTTAAGCCGTGGTGACCGCGTATTAACTAACCTTTTATATTTCCCTTTCCCCATTGGGAAAAAAAAAAAAAAAAAATTTTTTTTTTTTCTCCCATTTCCATTGCGCATGCCCATCGTCAAGTATTAAATAATTTTCTTTTTTTTTTCAAAGGAAAAAAATTTACAAGTTTTTTCATGTAAAGGAAAATTTTTAGTTTTACTTTCATTTTATACGTATAGGTACACATTTTTTTTATTTAAAGTATCACGACTGAAAACGATTCATAAAATTTACTACGACTGACTAAAGAGAATAATACATTTTTATTTCAGTTAAAAATTTTACTTCACATATATATATATATATATATATATATATATATAATATTATCAATCTCCTAAATGTCTTATTGTAAAAAATATTATTATTATTATTATTATGATACACACTTTGATATTTCAATGACAATAAAAAAAAAAAGAAAAAATTAAATACATTAATCATCCGTAATTAAAAGTTTAATGTAATAAAATTTTCAAATAGATAAAGTCATTTTAATAGGATCATCGCAAAAAAAAAGGGATAACGTGATGTATGGAATATAATAAATAACAATTAAAACGTGAAATACTCAAAAATTTAAAACAAATGAAAAAATGTCTCACGGATTCCGAAAACAATAATAAATCAATTATTTTTCCACGTGATAAAAGATTTAAATTTTTTCGAATAATTAATGTTTCGAAATTTGAAAAAGAAAAATAATAAAATAATAATATATCTATATATATGTGTGTGTGTCTATACCCTAATATTGTAAATTGAAATTTTAACGCAATTCAACAATATAGGAGAAACGAAATAACAAAACAAAATAATGAAATTTCAAATTATCAATTTTGCAAAAACGGCGTGTGAATTGATGATAAATGTCAAGTATATCATATGTGAATTATTATTTAACTTGTTTAATTAATTATTTTACGTTGAAAATGAATAAAGGGTAATAAATAAATAGTTGTAATAATGAGGAGTATCGTGATTTAAATTGTTCAGTGTGGAAAAAAAAAAAAAATTAAAAAAATTAAACTTATTTCCTTTATTTTTTTATGAATCTTACTATGAAATTTAATTTAGGGAAAAGGTAAATTGAGCAAAATGGTGGTTTATATTTTCAATGTAAAGCTTTTAAAAGTCTTTATAACAAGATAATAGACTCGAAATGGACAATTTTTACTCGTCTTATCACGAACAAATAAAATTTTAAAAAAATTTATATTTTTCTAATTATGTCTTATAAACGAAATAATTTTTGGTGCCACAAAACGTTTTTCATTTTATCAAAAAAAAAAAAAAAAAGTACCAATAAAAAATTATTTTATGCGTTATTGTATTCTGTGTTTTAAACACAAAGTAATAATATTATTTTTGAAAAATAATAGGTTTATAGATAAATAATTTCTTTCAAAAATTGTAACGAAAAATTAAACATGTATTTTTTACATTCGCGAAAAAAAAAAAAAAAAACATGTAAGGAACTCAAAGGCGACGCCAAAATAAAAGGGCAAAAGGTTGTGTAATATAAACTGACGACTTTTCCTTTAAAATATATTAATATTTTTTAAAATGTAATTTTCAAGCTGGGCGCCAGAGTGGCAAAACGAAAAACTACAAAAGCAGAAAACTTGTAATAAAAATTTAAATCTAAATTAATTAAGTTTAAAATTTTAATATAAACACCAAGTACGATCTATATAATTTTTTAATAAAAAAAAAAAAGTTTGTTGCCCTCAACAATAATAAGAATCATCCGCTCGAGTAGTCCAACAACATTTTTTTTAATTGTTTTTAAAATTTTTCGGATTTATTATCAAATTTTAAACTGGTCACGTGTAAAAAGTCGTAAACTTTGTCTTTGTACCCGTTGACTAAAATTAGTTCTTAAATTTTTATTTAATTTAATCAAATTTAATTATTAAAAGAGTCAATAACGGTGTAAATGTACACGTTAATAATTAATTACAAAAAACGACTCGTAAACTCTCATTGAAAAAGTATTTATCAATACGCATTACTTATTATTTTTGCCTTTAATCTAAACTTTGATTCCTTTACACCAATTTATGAATTTAAACATAAATTTTTTACATTTAAATAATGAAACAATAAAATAATTTTTTTTTTGTATGAGAATAACTTTATATTTAATAAATAAAAATTAATTTAAACGTGAGTTATTTGCAATTAATGAAAAAATAAAAAATAAATACTAATTAACTCGCTTTAAAGAGAAAAATTTTTTTTATTGTTTCCTAACTTTCTTAAAATCATAAATTTGCAAATATAATTTATCTTATATATATATATATATATATGAATAACAATTGGTGTTAATTACAAAAATATTTTGCCTAATATGAAATAATTAATATTTTTAGAAAGAAGTATAATAATAAAAAGAAAAGAAAAATTAAAACATATTTCCTAAAAAAAAATTTAGAAAGTAAATTTAACGTTTCAAGTAAAACTGAGTTAACTGATGTAGTAAAAAAGGCAATTTAAAATAAAATGAAAAACCACATCTTGTTCTTGTTCGTTATGTCTTTTGTTAAAATATGTACAAATACACAAACTCAAAAATCCACCTTTATTTCAATAAAACTTAGTTAACTTGGAGTAGAGTACAAAAAATATTGTTTTTTTTTTTTTTTTTAATTAGAAAGACTATAACTGCAATGCGTAATAAAAATAATTTTTTTTTTTTTTTTAATTTAAAAATAATAATAATAATAATAATGACGACAGTAGGAAAAATTAAAATGTTAATAAAATTATAATTACGCATTTAAATCAAATTCAAGAATAATATAAAAAGAAGATGTTTAACAGAAGAAGGTCCCGAAAATAATTTTCACTTTTTCCTAAAAAAAATTGCATTAAAAACAACAACAACATATTTAAGACTCAAACAAAAATTTTAACGCGACAAACCAATAACTCATATCAATTTTTTGAAACGAAAATGAAAAGTAATTATATACAAATCAAAAAAAAAATTTTTCAAGTTATTATAGTAATGAAATACAAAAGAAAAATTTTTTAAGTAGGGCTTTTAAACGATTACCATGTATATTCCTTCTTTTTTTAGAGAGAAATCGACAGCATTCATTCATGACTTAAATCACACTCTTCAAACAAAAAAAAAAACAAAAAAAAAATTAATGTAAAAAAAAAACTTACCTTTTTCGAGAGTATTATTACTCGAGGATACAATTGATCTTTTAACTAATTCTATCCCAGTTTCGAGCAATTCTATTTGCATTACCTCGGTATCGTCGAGGGAGCCTTTGATCTTTTGATTTCCATTATCGCCAGCCACTGTTTTTTTATTCACAGCACTATAGTCATGTTCAAATTCACTGCATTCTAAATTTCGATTATCAGATTTTTTAAATGACAAAAGCAAATTTGTTTCCGCACTCGTTGACGGTTGGTCTAAATCATTTGTTATTTTTCCATTTATCGGCACTAAATTAGCTTTCAGGTTATTCAATTCGAAACGGTCCTCGATTCCAGGTTCGGAGGACGAATCAAATACATTAGTGATTCCAGTTTGAAAAAACTGATTTCCCTTGTCCGATGTGATTTTGTCTTCTAATATAATTTCAACATCTGAGGTTTCTTCCTTTGAGAAAGTTACATTCGGAAAATCCGTTGAATTAACGCTGGTTTGATTTTGTAATTTAGAATTTATTTGAAAGAGTAAATTTTGTACTTCCTCAATTGACAACTCCTGGCTGATGACGACGTTTCCGTCAAAGATTTGCAACAATGGAGTTTCCTTTTTGATTATATCTTTAGATGCTGTATTTTTTTCATATTTTCTCAATTGTTCTGTCAAATGAATGCGATCGCTCTTGCAGTTTATTTCTGAACTGAAACAAGGATCCGCCGAAATTTTCGATTCTGATAACTTTGACGATCTTGTTTTTGAAGGAATACCCGATTTCGTTGGAGCTATTCGTAATAAATCAGAATTTTTTAACGCATACCCAGGGGCGATTATCGTACGATTCAGTAACAATATATTTTTGTTATTTATTTCATTTTTACTTTGATCTTTCACTAAAATATTTTGAGAAATTTTAACATTATCATTGGCAGAAACTGATGATGATGATGATGATAACCTGCTATTTTCGCTGCTGAGCGATGTCATCAAGCCTTTTTAAAACTCGACCGTTTTCTTTTTTTCGAAAGATGTAACTTCGCACTTTATTTTTTATTTAGAACCTAAAAATGAAAAAAAAAAGAAAGTAAGTAAGAGTATTTGTAAATGATATTCTAATCACATAATCAAAAAATAAATATAAGCTTTAAAATATAATGAATATTATCTGGTTTTAATTTTTCAACTTTCCTATTACATTTATGACGTCACTACAACGAGAATTATTTAAATTTATTTTTTATTTAAATATTTTAACCCATATTTTATTTAATAAATAATGAGTTTAAAGAATCGCAAAAGAATTCATTTTTTAATTTGTCTACATTATATACCTTTATTTATAAATGACTTTTTATTTTAAAATTTATTACACACATAATACTAATAAACAAAAGAAATAATATTATTATTATTTAATAAATATTATCGATTCTAATAATGCCTTGAAATAAAATAAAATTATTATTGACTCTCAAGTTCATTAACTCTTGCTTATTATGCTACAATTAATTATAATAAATTTAAAAACTCTTAACTACAAATTATGTAAATTTAAAAAATTAAATAAATTATCACAAAAAAATAAAAAAAGTAAATTATAATTAAATGGTGTTGTAATTCGACGCACTGCCTTATGTATATTTGTTTTTTGTCTTTAGATCTATATTTTTTGTTTTTTGTTTTTTGTTTTTTTTTTTTTTTTTATTACCCGAAGTAAACGCTGTTGATTTAAGTTTAAAAAAAAAAACTTTATTTTAATAAACAGAATCTAACATATTTTATTTTTCCTAATTAACTTAATTAACTTTTCATTTTAATTTTTCTAATTATGACCTTCTTGTATTGTCTAAAGTAAAAGAATTTTAATAATAAAATTTTTTAAATAAATTTCGTT